ACTGTAGGAACTGAGAAAGGCACACAGCAGGCGTGCAGGCTCCAGCATCAGCACTGCTCACCTTGGAGACTTGCCGCAGCCACCGTAAGTACTCCGTGAAAGTATCAAAGCAGATGTAGTAGGTCTGGCTTTGGGGCCCCGAAGAGCTGAATGCTAAACAGTGCTGGTGCTTCTTCACTTCTTCCACCTGTGAAGAGCAGACAACAGAGGCAAGTAAATCAGCAGAAGCTCAGATTAGCTGCTAACCACACCTGCATCTCCTCTCACTATGTGCCTTTCTAACAGCCACATCCTTGCATCTCAAACAATGTGATTGACAAATCAAGACAGGAGGATTTTTATCTTCTTTAGAATTCACCACCCAAATGAAATTCCCTTCTTCCTATTGAAGACAGTACAGGCCCTTTATATAGGTATCTTCACAAAAAGGTTTTGGGCTTCTTCTTCCTAGAATTAAAACAATAAACTCCCATTCACAATAAATTATTCATAAAGAGAAAAAGGTAAACAAAACATCCTATACAAACTCCTATTATTTTCTTGACCAAAAGGGCCATAAAAAATGTAGAATAGAATTTTTAAACTGTCATTATGATGACATTGTTCAAAATGTAATCATATCAGAAATCACTAACGAAAATTAGTTTACAATCCGTGTATGTTTAGAAGATGAACAGCACACTTGTACAGCTCGCTCTTTCCGGGCGGAGGATTGCCAGAGCCTGGGTGTGCTAGGCAAGTGTTCCACTGCAGCTAAAAATCCAGCCCCATACATGACCCACTTTTCAAATACATACTTCTAAACATTTCAGGTTTTAAAAAAATTATAACCTAAAAGTTTACAACTAAACAAATACATGTCAAAATCTGTGCAATGAAATCAAGCAAACACAAAGGGAAATTAAACATCTTTTAATATTTAGGAAATTAGAAAATTAATTTTCTTAGCATGGAACTTATTAGACAGAAAATTTAAAACTGAAAGCTGAATGAACTCTACACTGAATGACAATAATAACAAAAGTAGAAACTGGAGCTGAAGGGATGGATCAGTGATGAGGAGACTGTGCTGCTTCAGAGGACAGCACCTCTGTTCCCAGCATCCACGTAAACTAACTGTAGGTGATCTGACTTCCTCTGCTGGACTCCATAGGCAACGTTATTCAAGTGTATGTACCCCCCCCATAACACAAGCACATAATTAAAAAGAAAATTAAATCTTAAACTTAAAAGAATGATGTGCGGGCTCAACAGGTAAAGGCACTTGGTACCCAGCCCAACAACCTGAATTTGATCTGAATCCTCCATCATTGAAGGGGAAAACCAATGCTCCAAGTTGTCCTCTGACCTTCATACAGGCACCATGGTGCCCACATGCACTGGCAGGTGTATACACACTGTAAGTTAATAAAGTCATGGTAAAAATATAAAAGACAATCAGACTTAGAGTGAGTGTAAAATTACACCTTGGCAAGCAAACTGGGTACCATCCTGTAATGTGAATATGCTTACCTTCTAGAGGCCAGCAATGCTCTCCAGTGCACACACTCAACAACAGTGCATTTCTGGTAGCTCATTCGGATTGAGCTCTTGACTGTTGAGGACCTGTCTGACCTGCTGATTTCACTCTGGAAATCCTTGCTAGGTTTTTTAATGCCTTTGCAGCAAGGATACTGGTATTCACCAAACACTCCATCTACTTCTCAGCACTTCCCACACCCCTTACAAAAGTAAAGTCAACATAAATAATTCTGGCTATAAGCTGTTGACAAGAGTGGCATGCATAACTATTTCAGATCTAAATATACAGGAGTGGGACTTGAAGGAAAGCATTAAACCAGCCACCAGGCCTTCCTTACAAATACCTACAACCACAGCTCCAATGTGGGCAGGAAGAAGACAGCTGGAGCTGCTGACTTCCAGTTTAGCCATGAGGTTCAGGAAGAGGAGCAGGCAGCAGTGACTGAAAGGACACCGGACGTTCTCGTCTCAGCTGCTTTCATTCATGCACATTAACACTCACAGCACACACGAAAAGACAAGGACCAGGGAATGACTCTGCCACAGGTCACCAATATTAAACAACAGAAGAGCAGATTATCATGCAGGGTCCCTACACAGTGTGCAGAAAGAGAGATCAACCCCAAACCCACCAACTCACAGTGGACATGTTAGAAGAATGAAAAATTACTATTTTAAGGCAACAAGATCTGATAGTTCTAGTACCATGGTAACACTAATTTCAAAGTTAGTGCATCAATACTTTTTGTATTTTCTTTGTATTTTGCTGTTTTCTTTTTGGGCTTCTTGTGCTCCCCTATGTTTCTGTCACTTTGTCACAGAAACTACTGTTAACTGATGACTCACTGTCCTGTCAGTGTTCTGGGGGCAGAGGCCGGAGACACAGGTCTCCATTATCACCTTCACGAGCCTGAGAACTTCCCTTAGATTTGGGTCAAACTAGAATTCACAGCTTCAATGTTGAAAAGAATTTTTGAAAGTAACCAGTTTATGAAGAAAAGTTGGAGTTTAATAAAAATGTTTCAATACAGGCTTTGATGAAAAAATAGACACTTAGAAGAAAGGCAGATATACTCTAGAGCCCAAGTGTGGGCTCCTCGATGGAGAACTACAAAAAGTGAGACCTACCCAGGGCAGTACAGGCTCAAGGGCAGGCTGTCTGTTCACTCTTCTCAACATCAAAAACATTTCTACATAATATCAAATGTTCCCGGGCATAGAAATTCTGTTTTAAACAGGAATTTCTGTATTAAAAATGTATTTACCAGAAGGAATATCAATCTAAGATTACGTCAAAAAACACTGTAACAACAAAAACATGGAACGTTAATAAAATAGAATAATCCCTAACATTCATAAGTAGAAAAATTACTTTAAAAATTATACTAACTATGGAATATTTACAGATTAGAACATTAAAATGAAACTATATAAATATGACATCTTACAAAATCCATACAATGAAAAGTCTCTATCTTAAAGAATGTCAACTTAATCAGAATGTTCTGGTGGCCTGATGATGATGATGATGATGATGATGATGATGATGATGATGATTCTGACTTGATGTTTCACCATCAGCTCCTGCCATCTACCCAACTACTGAAGGTACGGCTATCTTAGATAATTCCCTTAACTGTACAGAACAAAAAGGAACAGCTCATTTATTGCTCATCTTTAGCTGATTAGGTAAAAATATTAAAACCTTACTTAAATACATTAGCTAATAATGAGTTTTAATTCTAGAGAGCAAATTTGGCATGAGAACACAATGAATAAAAAATTATCTTTATTTAAAATACCTTTTCAATAACACTTTAAGACAGCTTTAACATCTTTAAAAACTACAATTGTGTATTTGTGTGTCTGTATGCACAATGGCCAAGATGCATAAGGATGTCAGAGAATACAGTTGTGTATATGTGTGTGTCTGTATGTATAATGACCAAGAGGTGTAAGGACATCAGAGGATGCAGTTATATGTGTGTGTGTGTCTGTCTGTCTGTATGCACAAGGGCCAAGATGTATAAAAACGCCAGAGGATAACTTGGAAAGAGTTGGTTCTGGCATTCCACCATATGGAGCCCAGGGATCGAACTCAGATCATCAGGCTAGGCAACAAGTGCCACTACCCACAAAGACAACTCACTGGTACAAATCAGCTTTCTTAAACAATGAAGCAACCCAAATCGAAGACCCAGATATTAATTCACACACTTTCGAAAACCTGAATTTTGACAAAGACGCAAAAAAAAAAATCAAATGAAAAGAAGAAAGCATATTTAACAAATGGTGCTGGCATAACTGGATATCAATATGTAGAAGAATGAAAACAGAATCATATCTATCACCATGCACAAAATTGAAGTCCAAATGGATCAAAGACCTCAACATAAAGCCAGTCACACTAAAAGAGAAAGTGTGAAGTACACTTGAATACATTGGCACAGGAGACCACTTACTAAATATAAGCCCACCAGCACAGACACTGAGAGAAACAATTAATAAATGGAATCTCCTGAAACTGTAAAGCAAAAGATATGGTCAACAAGACAAAACAACAGCCTACAGAACAGGAAAAGGTCTCTACCAATCTCACATCAGACAGAGGGCTGATCTCCAAAATATACAAAGAACAAGAAATTGGTCATCAAAAGAACAAATAATCCAATAAAAAAAAATGGAATACAGACTAAAACTGAGAACTCTCAACAGAGGAATCTACAATGGCTGAAAGACACTTAAGGAAATATTCAACATCCTTAGTCATCAGAGACATGCAAATCAAAACAACTCTGAGGTTCTATCTTACATCTGTAAGAATGGCCAAGATCAAAAATACTTATGCTGGAGAGGTTGTGGAGTAAAGGGAACACTCCTGCATTGCTGGTGGGAGTGAGGGCTGGTACAGCCCCTTTGGATATCAGTGTGGCGATTTCTCAGAAAATTAGGAAACAACCTTCCTCAAGACCCAGTAATACCACTTTTAGGTATATATATATATATATCCAAAGGATGCTCAATAGTGCCACAAGGACATGTGCTCAACTATGTTCATAGTTGTTTGTCATAGTCAGAAACTGGAAACAACCTAAATGCCCCTCGACCGAAGAATGGATAAGGAAAATGTGGTACATTTACACAAGGGAGTACTACACAGCAGAAAAAAAATTCTTGGATTTTGCAGGCAAATGGATGAAACTAGAAAACATCATTTTGAATGAGGTAAACCAGATCCAGAAAGACAATTATCATATGTATTCATTCATAAGTAGCTTTTAGACATAAAGTAAAAAAAACCAGTCAATAAATTACAATCCCAGAGAACCTAGACAACAATGAGGACCCTAAGAGAGATATACATAGATCTAATCTACATGGGAAGTAGAAAAAGACAAGATCTTCTGAGTAAATTGAGAGCATGGGGACCTTGGGGGAGGGTTGAAGGGTAGGGGAGAGGCAGGGAGGGGAGCAGAGAAAAATGTGGAGCTCAATAAAAACCAATAAAATTTTTTAAAAAATGAAGGCACTTGTTATTTGAAAACTGTAAAATGATCATGCCTGTTGATGTGGAAAACTGAAAAAATAGCAACTGCCACTAGACTATACATTTCACTTCCAGCTCGTCCACATATAAATTAAAAAGAAAGAAAAAAGGTTCTTGCATTTAATCTCAGCTTTTCCTTTACCAAATAAAACAGGATGACAAAAAGAAATTGACAAACACTAATAAAAGCTCATATTACAAAAAGTGAATGATTTTCTCCTAACTGGGTCAACAGGTTTTAAAAGACTTGGTTTTCAACAAGCTCCATTATTTTTAAAGACAGTGCAAAGCAGGTTTGGCAAGATCTGCTTGTAAAAAGCGGAAGCTATTAACTTTCAATTCACTCAATAGTAGAAGTCTATCCAATAACAGGCCTGGGAGACAGGACTGGTCTCTGAACGGCAATGCTAATTATAGACAGATTTTCTGACCTTATCTGAACATTCCACCTGCTCTTCTGCCTCTCTCTGAGTAGAATAATCTTGTTCCCACTTTAAATGTCAAAAGATTTTTCACCCTTCAATTTCTATTATTGTTACGTCTCTCGTTACAAAATGCTTTCTTCTCCCTACAAAGCGCTGCCCTTTTCCTGACCTTCCATAGTGCTCTTGCTTTCTGTGCCCTGCTTACAGCTATAATGCAAATGATGATGCATCCACCCTTCCTCTCCTGATTGGAATCGTAAGCTGTTCAAAGCCACAGATGGTGACTTCCCATTTTCAAACACAGTACCTTCCCTCACAAAAGATAAGCAATAAATCATTATATCACATTTGCCTATGCAAACACCAAGCATGGCAAACAAGACAGACTTTACATATAAACCAAATGTTAACTATGTCTGCATTTTAAAAGAATCATCTATGATGACAACATTAAAGGCAAAAATTTTCATTAATTCATGAAAAGACAAAATGTGAAACAATCAACTAGGCCATGGATGTGTTTGCTTGGTAGAAAACTTGCCTACCATGTGTCAAGTCTGGGTTCGGAAACAAACTAGCTGTGGTGGCAAACACCTGTAATCCCACACCTGTAATCCCAGGCAGGTGAATCAGGAGTCAAGGTCATCCTTAACTACTTACATAGTTTCACTCAACAATGAAAGAAAGAATAGATTTAAAACTAGCTTTTAGTTTGGCTGAAATCTATTGTGAGAAGGCTTGGGTACCAGCCTTCCTGGGGCTAGGGTTTGCAGGGCAGGGAAGAGAAACTAGCACAGAACGTCCCCAAGGACAGGCTAAACTACAAAGTTGCTGACATCAGAGCCACGTGTCACTATGCAGATCTAGCCTTTACCTTCAATTCCGACTTCAACTTTTAGAATGTATCAGACATGTGTCAATATTTTTATGTTTGTATTTTCACAAAAAAATGGCTTCTTATTTTTCCACTAACTGCATTCTCCATCTAGATCTACATCCTTCCCCATCAGGGAGAGGGAGAGGGAGGAGAGGGAGAGAGAGAGGGAAAGGGAGAGGAATAGGAAGAGAGAGGAATGGATGGATGGATGGATGGATGGATGGATAGATGAATAAATGAATAAAGGAAGGTAATAAATGTTTTATATGTCCCCAGTTCCAACAAACTATTTCTTATCTAAATGAGAATGTTTAACAAATGACATCATTTTAAAAACAGCAAACACTGATGTGATTATAGTGATGTTATCCCCAACAGAGAATTTAATACTTGTTTATAAATAAATCATCAGAGAATTTACTACTTCACTGAGAAAACTGGTTCTATTTTATAAGTGATGGGTAAAAAATAATAATAAAAAAAACAGTTAACATGCCCAAAGAAAAGCAACTGGTAATGTCAAGTGTGTAAGCAACATTTCCAGCTCAGAATGGTCAGTCATAGTAATTAATCCCACTAAGTCCCTGAACACAAGTAAGCAGAAGGTAACGGAAGTCTAGCCAGACTTCAGCAGTAGGACATCTTAAACCTTCATAAGCACACTCGAGTATTTCTACAGTCAAACTTAGGAATGATGTTCTGTACTATGAGGTATGTGCTCAACAAAACAAAAGATATCTACTCATAATGAGTTTATCATCTGCACTCTAAAACAGAACAATGACATTCTGTAGATCTACTTTCCCTCATGATCCAATGGTATTGTTATTTTCACAGTTCTAGTAACCAATATCAGGAAGTAGGAGTTCAGACAAGCCAAATCCATCTCCCTTTTATTACAGAAATGGCTGAAACGTCCTTACAAATGCTGAAATACTTTTCAGCATTGTTGTTTTACACTTACTTTTCCACCAATTAGTGGCAGAACATGCATCTTTCCACTCAAGCTGTCTTTCACAGATGATACTATCAAGCACGTCCCACACAGGATAACCTGGCGTCTTGTCCATCGGTTCACTGGCAACTGCATTTTGCCTTTTCGGACATTGTACATTCCTGAGAGCTGAATCCTCTCAGAGCTCCCAGTGCTGTGAGGTTTTCCTAAAATGAACACAAGCAAACATGTTACATGTTAGTCTCTAGAAATAAGCTTTTGTTCCCTCAGCTATATACTAGATCAATTAATTAGGAAACAATAGTTATAGGGGGAAAAACTAACATATAACTAAAGAACATACGGCCAAAAAGCCATTGTGGAATTATGGTAGTAAGAACAACCACAATTATTCCTCGTGTATTTTAGTAGCAAGTAAAGCATAACTTTTTTTCTTAAAATAAAAGGAAAGACTTTTAGGTCCTCTCTTATTACCTATCTCATTATAATTTGTTACATATTTAACAAGAGATAGATTCAAGATAGATTGTGTGCTAGTCATTGAAAAATTAAGAAGAAAAGATTACAGGCTAAGATGGAAAATAACATTCAGCATTCCACATTGAATAAAAATAATCAGTCTTACTAGGATTAACTGCCTGTTTTCTCCCCACACTTATTCAATGTATGTTTACTAAAAAGAAGAAATAAAAAATACTGTTCTAATAGGAACATACCACAAGATGAAGGTCTAGTACAGCAATATTTGTGATTTCTGGAGGAAGGGGCAGGGGCAGAGAGCAGCACTGAGATTTAAGACAGTGAGAAAGACTTCCATAGTTAAAGTTCTGAAGGTAGTTATTATGTTTGTTTCTACCCAGAAAACCAGGAGCCAGGTGCAGCTTATTGGAAGCCACATTTTTTCCTAGATAGACGCTGTTTGCTGGTGATGAGCAGAAGCACTGGCTCCCTTAAGAAAACGCTCCCTGTCTGCTAACTTACGTAATATTATATTCTTCTGAAGTCATTGATGGAGTTGAAGACTAGACAGATATAGTTTTCCTTAGTTATGATAAAAGACAAATTAGATGCAAAACTTTAGACTCACAAAGATAGATTATAGAATATTTTCTTTAATTTTTGCCTAATACAAATAAACTAAATATTGTAACTATGATTCTTTCTTAATACCTGGATGTCCTGTCTATGTGTTGCTTTTATTGGTTGATAAATAAAGCTGTTTCGACCAACGGCTTAGCAGAGTAAAATCAGGCAGGACTTCTGAACAGAGATACAGAGAGAGTAGGTATAGATGAGGAGACGCCATGAAGCTGCCCAAGAAGCAAGAGGTAACAAACCATGAGTCTCATGGTAAAATACAACTAGAAATGGGTTAATTTAAGATATAAGAGTTAGCTAGAAATACGCCTAAGCTGTTGGTCACTGTTGTAACTAATATAGTTTCTCTGTGACTATTTGGATCTGGGCAGTCAGGAAACGAATGGGCAGCCTCCATCTTAGTGTGCTTTCTCTTGCTGTCATAAACACCATGGCCAAAAGTAACTTGAGGGGAAAGAGTTTATCTCAGCTTACAGGCCGCTTTCATTGCTGAGGAAAGCCATGGCATGGGCTCAAGGAAGGAACCTGGAAGAAGGAGCTGATGCAGAGGTCACAGAGGAATACTGCTCAGGGGCTTACTCTCTGGCTGTTGTGTTGAGCATGCTTTCTTATACAGCCCAGGACCACCAGCCCACAGTGAGCAGGCCTCTCCTGTATCAGTCAGTAGCCAAGAAAATGCCTTGCAGACATGCTCCATACCAAGCTGATGGAGAAAACTTCTCAATTTTGGTTTCCTCTCAAAGTATGTCAAGCTGACAACTAATATCAGTTACCACATGAGTTCAGTTTAGGCCTTCTGGATGTGACAGATTCTTTTCAATAGTAGAGACAGTAGGGAACAGATAAGATTCCAAGAAAAAAGGAAAATAGCCTAAATCAATACACTGCAACTGAATTCCAAAACCCAGTTTTCTTGACTATAAAATAAAGTAACATTCTCCAACAAAGAATCTGATCAAACACACCCACACCTCCGCAAATGTGTGTGATCAACCACACTCATTCGCACATGTGTGTGATCAAACACACCAACACCTCTGCACATGTGTGTGATCTAAACATGCCCACACCTCCGCACATGTGTGTGATCAAACACACTCACTCCTCAGCATATGTGTGTGATCAAAGACACTTACTCCTCCACACATGTGATCTAAACACACCCACACCTCTGCATGTGTGTGATCTAAACACACCCATACCTCCACAAATGTGTGATCAAACACACTCACTCCTCCGCATGTGTGTGATCAAACACATTTGCTCCTCCGCACATGTGTGTGATCAAACATGCCTACACCTCTGCACATGTATGTGATCTAAATACACCCACACCTCTGTAAATGTGTGTGATCTAAACACACCCATACTTCCACATATGTATGATCTAAACACACTCACACTTCCATAATGTGTGAATACAAAGCAGCAATTATTTTATTTCCTCATATCAGAAAAGCTTCAAGGAAACTTACAACTATCACATGTATACATATGTGCAAATAACTATAATAGAGATGATGGGGGGACATAAAACAAAAACCAGAAAACATAAATGAGAGTCTTTCAGTCTCCAAATCCAAATATCTCCTAAACAAGCTCCACAGCAAATCACCAGGCTGACTTAGGCCAGAAAGAACTGTTAAGAGAATGAACAAAGCAACAAAGACTGGATTTTTTACTCTCTTTATTCTCTAGTCGGAAAATTCCAAAGAGTTTTGGAGCACAGGGCAAGACAGGTTTGTTCTTGGAAACTCCTGAAGATCCCACTCTGAATCAAATATCCACTCCCACGCCCAGTGTTGGTCTGAGTGCATTTCGTCCCCTCGCTGCTTCTCTTCCTGGGTGTTCCCGATTAAACACACCCTCAGAACGGGTTGCGCACCAGCTGCACTCTGGGGAACATGGAGGTCAATGAGGTAACACACGCCTGGGCGGTCACACAAACACACCCTCCTTTGTGTCAGACTCCCTAATTCTCTGACATCAGAATCATTTAACTATCACTAGTCTTCCAATTGCCCGACACGCTAATACATACTGATAACACAAAAGAAGGTGATGCCTACCAGTTTATAGCAGAGCCAATGGGTAGAGACTGGGCTTTAGAAATGTTACACAAATCGCCTACAAGTTCAAGACATTCTCTCAACTCAGGATATGCTCTGAAAGCAAACATTTTAAGTTGAAACAGAGAGGACAACAAAAAATTTAAAAGCACATATATAGTTTCTCTTCTAACTACTTACTTGGCATATGGCAGAACTGACGATCCAGAGTTAACAAGATGGTTCAGCAGGTAAAGGCACTTGCCACTAAGCCTGAAGTCTTGAATCCAATCCCTGAGACCAACATTATACAAACACAGAAAACTCTCACAAGCTGTCTGTCCTCTGATCTCTGCTGCACTTACACACATGCATATGCTGCATGCATACATACATACATACACATACACACATATATATGCATAAGATAAATGTAATGTTTTTTAATGGTGTTCTATAATAACCCCCAAGGTCCTTAAAGCAAATTATCATGTTAAAGGATACGCTTCTTAATGACTTCCTGAACACTCCTATTCCACATCACAAAGGCAGTTTTTACTTACTTTTATTTCTCATAGTACAACTGCTGAATTGATAGTGGTATATAAAATGTTTTCCATAAGTCAAACCTATGCAAAATTCTAGAAGTATATTTTCTTAAGAAAATCTTCCCTTTATTACACAGCTTAAAGCAATATTTCAGAATCACTTGATTTTCTGTCACCTATAACAGACCTACAGTTTTGAAATCCTGGTAGTCAAAGACCAAATGCTGCTTTCAACATCACCACCAGAAATTTTGTTTTATGCTAATAAATCTAAGAGATTTAATACACCTGCAACTCCTTCTCCAAAGTAAGATATTTCCTCCAACAAATGCATTCCTCATATGCAGAAATTTCAATTTTCTGCTTACTACAAACCAGCTACTTAATGTTTCTATACCATATAAAGCCACTTGAAAAATGCATAAAAGAAAGCTATGAACTCTAGAAGAGGTAAAATAAAAAAAACATATAGAGGGCTAGAAAGAAGATACAGTGGTTTAAAAGTATTTGATGGTCTTTCAGACCTGGGTTCAGGTCCCAGCAAATGGCTCACAACTGCCTACAATTCCAGTTCCAGGGGATCTGACACCATGTCCAGGCCTCATTGAACACTTGCATGTGCATGGGATACACACACACACACACACACACACACACACACACACACACCTTAAAATAGATGTGCATAAACACAAGTTCTGACAGGTAGTGCAATTAGAATGGTGTGATCAACCTCAAGAAAATAAAAAATGGTGATGTTAAGAGCAAGAATCTATCAAATTTCTTTAAATTACATTCTGAACCTTTTTGAATTTTGCTATGAACAGTAAATTACTTTGAGAGAATTTCAGTCTTTTATATCTACCACTTCCAGGGTTCTTCATTCCTTTACATAGAACCAGTCCATGTGAGATGATCTCATTGTCTCAGTGTCTGAGCCATTTCTTGTGGTGCAGATCAGCTAAAACAAAGTCTGTCTGCTTTTGTGTACACGAAAACTTTTTGATTTTAATGATATTTCACTGCATGTAGACTTCTAGGTTAACAGCATTCTCTTCAGAATTCTGAAGATGCCCTTCCAACACCTTTTGTTTCTGAAGTGTGCTACCCTTCCTCAGTACAGACCATGTCACCTACTGCCTTGCTGCCTCTTGAAGATTTTCTCTTTATCAGTAGTTTGAAGCAATTTGTTTTCTCTCTTTAGCACATGGTGTAGGGAGGGCATGCACATAGAGGCTGGAAGACAATCCTGAATGCGAGAATATGTCCACCACCTTAGAGATGGGGTCTCTCCTGCCTCCTCCTCCCCAGCTGGTATTATAGGTACATGTCAACACAATAGCCATTTTTGTGTGCACGCCAGGAGTCTTGTGCTTTCAAGTCAAGAACTTTAACAGCCGTACATTTCCCCAGCTCTCTGCAGCCTGATATTTGATATGTTATTTCACATTTCTTATACTCAAGATTTAGAGTATTTGAAATTTATGGTAAAAACTGAGAATTTTGCCAGCT